TAAAAAAAAGATTCTTTATCAAGGTACGAACAGTGATGTCTACGAGTCTTTACAAAACGCTTCGATTTCAACAAGAAATGAGTCGGCAGTTTGTAGATAAAGAATACGTAATAAATCTTGAACCGTTATAATATCTAAGGAGGCTTTGAATAAATTACGAGTTTAAAAATAAGTTTAGGGTAAGACCCTATAATAAGTTCAGGAAGCACAAACTCATTGCGTATAGATTATGTTGGTGTTATTCTGCGAAATCTCTTCTTGCAGCAAAAACAACTCGAGACTTATAAAAACTTAAACTCAATGAACATTTTAAAATAAACTATCTTCTCACCACGTCAACATAGATACTATCCTCAATATTCCAATATTCCAATAAATTTGTATACAAATTGAAATCAAATAATTATTTAGCGGACCGACTCGTTCAAAGGTAAGATGCAAACACTGGTGAAGAAGTTGCCTTGAGGAAACTTGGAAATATTGAACGATCATTGAAAATACGATACGGAATTTATAATGTTTTAACACTCTTTTATTAGGTCGACCTATAACAAAATACTTATAATTTGTCATGTCATCATACAACTTGGCAATACGGTATTTTACAACTAGTCATATTCACTACTTTTTTCAAACTGTCAAAAACGACAGTTTTCTATGAATTTTGTACGAGATTGTGTATTGTGACGTCACATTATTTTAGCGTCAAACAGCATACTTATTTCTTAAAAAAAGGCTGGAAGAACAATAAAATTAAGTTGGTCATAAAATCAATTAATGAAACTGGGATTATCTTTAAAAATTTTATTGTATTGAACAGTCGAAATTATTTATTTTTGATTAAGGACCAGGAATACCCATTTTGGGTAATCCCAAATAAAAAATAATTAATAAATAAATGTGTAAATTAGATTACTATCGGTAAAATATTATGGATTACCAAACTAGTGATGGAATTCAAAGATGGCTGATTAAACCTCAGGACAAGGACACCTACGTATCTCCTAGTAAATACATCGAGTTTGGACTTATTAAATATTATTACGTTGATTTCTCGCGATGACGTGTTTTAAGCGTGAGTTAGTTGGCATCAGAGTATGTGCAAGGATAAAGAAGTATATCGTCAAAAAAGTGTTCGCAAGTTCACATTTTCCTGGTAGAAACGCTTTGATCCTCTAGAATCCATCGTTGCCATGGCAACCTCGGATGCGCATTGAACCTCTCTTCCATATTGACAAAAGCTTTGGATCAAATCCGACAGATGTCGATATTCGTGTGTTCATGGTTCGATTGATTTTCCCTGAAGAGTATATTGTGTAGATGCGTACTTATATACAGTATTTGGATGAAATATTCTGTCACTGTAAGTACTTATGACTTTGACTGCCATTAAAAAACTGTTGAAGGTAAATCCTCCACTAACGCCGGTCACCGGTGACCCCCATGGCGTTTAACGTGTTAAGATACTGTAAATAAATGTTATACTTGTTATAAAATTATTACTAACTTAACAAATGATAACAAAGTTGTTGTTTGTATCCCTACTAAGTAATACCTCTAAATCTTGAGAATGCTCCAATAATCTATAATAAATAATATCTGAGAAGCTATTCATTCCAGTCATAAATAGACTTTCTCGTAAAAAAATATTATTATTTGACAGTTGAAAACATTTGATAAATTATTAGATCAATCGTCAAATAAACTTTGGATTGTATGTTTTTCATAATATTTTCCGAAAAATAAATTATTATCTTCAAAGTTCAAAGAAAGTACTGCAATAAAGCGATGGAATAGATATTTACTATTCCATGAACAAAGCTATCAATAAAAACCTCCCGAAAGAAACCAATAAAACACTAGCGACCTCTATATATTCTCATAATTATCGACGTAGACTTAAATAATCTGTGGTTCCATTCCATAGACATCGACTCAATTTCCCGCCATAAATCTCCATCAGTTGGAAAGTGTGAAATGTTTACGTTGTAACAAAGTACGGAGCGAGGGAAACTCAAAGTGTCCAAATAAAAAGAAAGAATGTAATAATCGCGGTCTATTAAAACTTTTACATTGAAACCGGGAACTTCGCTCGGAGATCTGAGACTTAAAAATTGCGATGTAAGCTTATTATAGCAAGTTTACTTCGGCTACAGGTGAAATAAATACTTTCCGGACATTTTGTGACAATTTGCACTTTTGTGAGATGAATGTTCGATTGACTGAGTATTACTGCTTTTTGCTTGAATAGCCATGGCCAAATGTAGCTGCAACATACGTCGTACATGTAATGAGAGTTACGTTTACACTGCACTTTACGTTCACGTTTACACTTCAGCAGAAGTTGGACAGTTCTGTGCTCTGTAGCTGTACGTACGTTGCTCAAGGTCTGCTCTGTGGGGACGGGAGGGAGTTAATTACCATGGCAGTGGAAGTTGCCGCCGTGAGCCAGTCGAGCGGAATTACCGCCATGAAGCACTTCGCTTTTAAAACTTTATTCAAATGCACTGACTTAATAGACGCTATTATGTTAACTGAAGAAAAACTGGACATCAAGTTTTATATTCTTGCCTTGAAATGTTGAAACTCTTACACTTTGTATTTGTAGCGAGCAAGGAGGGAATAAAGAAAATTAAGATTTCATGTCCTTTGTTCAGGCACACTGCAAGGGCGGTGGAGTAAAATAAAAACCTGACAAGAAAATGTACATATAAAGGGATGTATGTCTCCGCTATGTTCGCCATGCCTTGCACCTGCATCGTCAAACGTCCTGAAAGACAACAGATTGACGTGAAACAGGCACATCGCAGATACGAACACCAAACAAAAACGCAATTTCCACACCATTAAAACTTGCCCACTTGTTGGGACTTCCCGCACTTGCAACCAATTAAGCAAGACCCGCGGAATCTCAGACATAATCCCCGCACACATCCACGAGCCTCTCGCGGAGAGGGGGTGAAGCAGTTCTAGACAAATTGGGTGTGGTACTTCGTTTACAAGAGTTCTCTTTAAAAGAAATAGGACGGTGTATTTCGGTGGCATGTTTATTTAAGTATTGCTCGGTAATAGGTACATACGTAGATACTGGAACATGAATGAAAATATTTTTCTTGTAACCTTCAAAGCGCGCGCAATAAACGTGGCTTGTGTAAAATGTCTGAAATATGAGTGCTTTCAGTAAAATTGCTACATCTTACAGTTGTAGCGAGCCGCCCTCGTAATGTTTTGCTCCAAACAACTGCGGACAGAGCTCACTCATTACGCACGCACACACGCGCACACACACACACACACACACACACACACACACACACACACACACACACATACATTGCGACACATCTCGAGGCAATATAAACTTTAATAAATCGTGATGAGTACTTGTTGACTTTCTGAAAGTCACAACTATGTGTAGAACATTAGTTATTATTGTTTAATTATCCAATTTGCTGGGCCTCAAAGCTGACTGTATTCCCTAGACAAATACATAGGTAAAGTAGAATATAAAGATAAAGTCATTATAAATTAGATTCTAGTTCGGACTGGAAACTATAAACAGGTCTAAGCAAATTCTGTGTGTACAATAAATTGCGTTAGATGAAACAGATCGCTTGGGACCGTGAGCCGCCCGGTCCGGCGCGGGCCGGCCCGGCTAGCAGTCGCTCACGTAAACTAGTTCCAACTTTTAATACGATCGGAATCGGATCCGTGCCGCACGCGTGTCGCGTCACTAACTTGCTGATATTGTCACGGCTGATAACTTGTTTTGCGGTATATTCGGCGGCGGCGGCGGCGCAGGGTTACTGTCATCATACATGGAGCAGACACGTTACTATTGGTAGCGTATTACTTTACTTGTGGGTTCTACCGACGTATTATACTAACTACTGGTGGTTTCCAAACTGTATGTTAATCCTTATTATGATACAAGATAACTTATCCTAATAATCTACTATAATGTGGGATATTAAAATACAGCCGCGTTGTATTAACGCACTACGCCTATTTTCCTGAAACAGATTTGCCCTTTAACAAACAGTACACCTACTTAGAACTTTGGAACTAACATCATTACATTTATTCAAACACTAGCTTCTGTCCGCGACTTCGTACGCATAATCCCATTTTTTTCCGTCCCCGTTCGTGATTTTCGGTAAAAAGTAAAAAAAAAATGTTGGTTAAAAAGTATCCTATGTCGGTCTCCTGGCTCTAAGCTCCCTACCAATTTTCAGCCAAATCTATTCTGCCGTTCTTGAGTTATAAGTGGTGTAACTAACACGACTTTCTTTTATATATATAGATTTAAAGCTTAGTTTGTACTGCGAAGATTACACTTGGATAATATTATGTAGTGCAATGTTCTCTAGTCCAGTACTACTAAGTCCCTATTGTTGGTCACGATATTGACGTGTGTACATACATATATACTGTCTTGTATTACCTATATGTAATCCTGTAGGTACTCGTCCGATGTGGTGGCGTGTCCCGAGTAGTAGCGACTAAATAAAGGCTGAGACACAATGCACCGCTAACTACATTATTATACATATTGTGTGCATGTACGTCGTGTTATGAGACCAGTTTATTGTGTTTTTGGTCTCAATTTGTTTAAAGTTCTGCAACATTGGCTTTGTGTACCTATGCTCTGACTTTAATATAGCTTCACTAGACTTCCACAGATTCCCGCTTGATTTCATAAGAACTTGATATAGAGCTACGGAGCTGTTATTTTCTGTACACCAGCTTCTCATAACGTATGGTTTAGTTTGATAATTCGTGACAAAATTCTGGATTCTTCGTATTTCATAAAGAGTGTGACAGTTCCGTCGCGTCGTCGGGGGAGTATTTGCAAGACCAACTGCTGAGCTAGGAATCTTGACCGTTGTATGTACAGATTAAGCAAAGTGTTATTAAGATTTTTTAATACATGGCATTTGGGGCTGTTACAAAGCCAATGTTACATTATGTGATGTTTGTAAAGTGGAGTATATACTTACTGCAGTCAGCCTCGTCGGTGCCGTCGACGCAGTCCACCTGCATGTCGCAGCGGTAGTGCGGCGGGATGCAGTACGTCTTGTTCCACACGTACTGGCCGCACGTCAGCTGCCCCGCCTCGCACTCCGGCGGCGCTGGGGACATCATACGACGTTAAATATAGGCTTACTTTTAAAACGTTGATATTATGAGACGTGTAATAAATAAGATGAACGTTAAATATTGTTGTTGCTAGTTCAGCTCAGGAAAGTAAACAACTCCTGATTTAATATTTGTTAGAAATAAAAAACAATTTAGTTTTCATGCAAGACGCATCGACTCCACTTAAAAGTAAGTACGAACGCAAAAGTTATTTAGTTTCATGGCTTGAAGTAGCAGCAGAACCTTGAGATTATTCTGTTACATCTTGTACAATGGTATGGTAAACATAACAGGTATTTCCTTAACTATATTCTACAAAAGGAAGAAGTAAACTTGAGCCTTAGAAATTGTGTGACCACCCAACCAAGCACCTTGCGGACTCTTTAGCGAGCGCAACTTAACACATCCTAACGACTTCTCATAAAAGGTCACGAATTGAAATGAAATGAATCCAGTGATTAGACGAAGGCGCCTGCAATCAGCGCCGTATCAATCAAGATGCTGACACGATGGGAAGATGGGCAACTCAGCTTTATGACCATTTCCTTTAAACAGGAGATGCAGGTGAAAAAAATCAAAGTAATAAAAGAATGTAATGGTTTGTAATTAGAACGTGTGACACTTTTATTACTGCTATGTATAAGGAGGTAGAAAATACTGGACACGTTAAGAATATTAGTACTGAGGAGTGCGGTGGTTAACGTTCCCTGAAGCTGATCCTTCATATATTTTAATAGCTGTCGTGTTACTACAATAAGTGTATGTGCTCACAAGAGTTTTTTATTATGTTTCACTGAACATAATAAAAAACTCTACTAAATGAATTAATTAATTATTATGTTGTCGGCTTACTCATGTAATTGTTTCACGATGAAATCGACTATTACCACGTGACGCGTCGCAGGTCGCGGAATGTTGTTCATGAATATGAGCCTCCAGCATGGCTTGAAACTAGTCGAGTTCCTTGTCAGACAGTTACGTGAGTAAGTCGTAAAAGTAACAATTAACTGAACAGAATATAATATAATTATAAGATGTTGGATTAATTGTTGTTTATTATTATGTACCTACGAACGTATTAAAATATTGGCTCTCAGATTATTTGTAGGATGGTTTTCAAGTGTGGCTCAAGATCCCGCAGTGTTCCCGATGTAGTACGGCCTTAATGTAATTGAGGCGGAGGTGCAAATCGAGTTTACGCTCAAACGCTCAAATAGTTTGATTGGAGCGCTTGTATCGGAATGAGCCGCCATTATTGTATTGTGGGGATTTATGTCTGTCTGTACAGCAACAATACAAGTTTATTTTGTGTGTTATATTTTTTTATTATTTTATACGAAGACATCGTGTAATTATTAAAATGAACAAGGTAACTGATATAACGCTTCAACCAAGGTTTACTACTCCGACCCAAATGAATATGTATTTGAATTTAATATATTTGAATAGAGCTACCGACTATTTCAATTTAAATGAACATAACGATAGACTTCCCATAAACAATATTTCACAATTACGTCGACTTAATATTCCTAAAACTAATAACTGCTGTTAAATAGTTAATGTAAATTTCAATTACACACACAAAAGCAAATTTAATAACAGCTTGACAGACTGTACACAACACTGGACTGTGTACTGCAGTGCACACACACACACACACACACATACGTACACATTGCACACAATGAAGATAGGTACGTGACTAAACCTCGACTCATAAGATTAAATAATAGTCGCTGTAAAATAATCAAATTGTAAAATTGTAGCTTTAGTTCGGAACTGTAGCTTGATGCACAGTCACACATAGACATTAACTTGTTATTACAAGTATTAAAGTAATTATTTACCAAAATATTGTAAAAGCTGCGTTTTTCGTAAGCCTCTATTCTCCATTTTCTAAGTATAACTACTGAATTAAAACCAGCTGATTGTGAACTCAGAATCGGGCGGACGCGGGCGGGCGGCCAGTCGTAGCGTTATCTCTACGACGTTTGCTACGAGACGCTACGAGCGTGCTACGAGAGTGCTACGCGTGATCAGCATGCGAGAGGGATATTACCGCGTAGCATTTCTTAGTCTTCTGCGGGTTAGTGTGGGTTATATGTACTGAAATACACTTGTTTTAGTAATCAAGTTACATAATTTGTAATTTACGTAGTTCATATTTAGATAAAGATACCATTTGAAGGTTTGTAACAAACAGTATTGTATGTCCTTGTAAGTTATAATAAAAATGTGCTGCAAAGCCGTATGTTTCGTGTCAGCAGTAGTTAACTAACTGCCGGCTCTGTAGTCAACTATCCGTTCACTCGGGAAATCTACAGATGGACGCGAAAAACTGCACCGCCATTACTCACATGCAATAACTAGGAAAACTTGCTGTTCATGAGCGATTGTCGCCGCGACACTCGTTACATGTTGCGACAAATTACATTGAACGGCTCTTTGTTAGAGAATTTTAATATGTATTTAACCCTAACTTTGATTTAAGGAAATTATCCTCCTTTGGTTAAAAGAATAATATCCGACGATTCCATAAATAATATCGATAAAATCTACTATAACAACAATAGAATAAATGAGGTTATAAAATGTAATTTGAAATGAGGATTAAGTTGTCAAGAAGTTTTATGTTTCTAACATTAAGTGTACAAGATAAGTCGGTAATGAACAGTAGTCCTTAGACTAGTTGACAATTATTTCTGTCGAGTGCGTCTCTCGCTGTACGACGCGACACGCTGATTGATTGAGTCGGAACAGTCATCGCGAACGTGCATTTATTGCGACTGTGTCTGACCGTGAATGGCCAATTATTTATACCTAGCTCCTTTTAATTATAGAGTCTTCTTATATTCTCAATTTTGCGCTCCATTCTATTTATAAGCTTGAAATATGATATTGCACTATGTATAGTGTTAGTTTTTTCATATTTAATTTCTCTACAGATGATACGTATTAAAACGAGAACATAGAAGCAACAATGGCGACTAAGCACCACATAAATACTTTGTTATCTCGTTTCTCGTAAATATGTGATTTATTTTAAATTGTTTCCGATACAGATCTGCGCTGGCTCCCGTCCACCTCCTTATGCAGCCAAATGCCAAATGTCGTCCACTTAATGTTGATATCCTCATGCAACGCCAAATCCTAAGGCTTCCTTTGTGTAAGTTCTAAAATAGCTAACCATGAGATTGATGGAGGTACTTATCCGTATTTGTTATTTGGTAAAGGTCTGGCGCTCACTAAGTTATACAACAATAGTTACAAGCTACCTATCTATTTAAAATATTTTCTACTTAAAGACAACACAAGATGTAATTGACACTTTATCTTGTAAGTCGAAAACAAGAGCAACATCTTCATTTTTATTGCATGTAAGACTGAATCGAGTCGACTAACCATTAATCTAACACGAACTACCATAAACCAGCTGAGATAATTGTCGTCCATCCATTGTAGAGGGAGCCACTCACTCGAGTCACTGGGTACGACATCAGCGTGAAAAACTGTGAGCAAAATATATCGGAGTGCGACCAAGAACTAGATAGATCTGGGGATTCAGACTTCTTAGTCTTAATGGTAGGTCAAGAAAGTTAAAGTTTGCAACCTTCGCGTGAGTAGACTTAAAGTAGGTACTTTCAAACACAAAAATCAAAATACCAGAACTACTTTGGCAATACATTTCTAACATTACAAATCAAAACGTGTAAAGCGCATCACTAGCTTCTCGTCTCAATAATCACTTCCCTAACATCAAAGTCTCGTTGTGACTTTATGACGTGTGATCTGTGAGCTCCACCATTGAGACTGTGTCTGTAGGACCTCTAAAGCATATCCCGAGTCTTTGCCAAACGGTGACAAAAGGCAGTCGAATGAAAAATGTCAGCTTTGTAGTTATAAATGTATGTGGATGTTCTGACCTCGGCGACGAGAGGCCGACACGATGGATAGCCGCCAGCACACACCATACATCAATGTTTTGTGCACAACATTTTGCCCGCAGTGACAAGCTGATTAGTGCCATCAGTAATTGGCTTAAAGTTTACTTTAAACTGATAGTAGAGCTTATTTTACAGTTAATTTTTAATTGCCATTGTGTAGATTAAGTTGCGTATCCCCAAGCTACAGCTTACCCGTAATGAAACTGCAGTATATGCACGGCGTGCTCATTATTTACTTAGCCGGCCATATTAACTCATTTACCACATACATACAGACGTGTGTATTTTCCACCGGTTCTAACAAACAGTGCAACAATTCGGCTGCACGTCCACAACACGCGAATGATCGTGACGGGAATTAATACGCAGCGTGCAGCGTGACAGAGCACTGTTCTAACAGCGTGATTATTAATAGCGTGAATGACTGCTGTACAAGTGTACACACACTCTCCTCTATACACATTTCAATATTCAAAACGAACGTTACTGTGTTTGATTGTGTGTTTGCTATAGAGTTTGTTATTTGATTTTTAGAATGCGAGAATATAACCTGACTGCTATAGTTTTAAAAATAAATGCTTTGCTATTGATTTGAACTGAAATTTAATATTAAAATAAAACAACTGTTTTATACAATATTGTCACAGTTATGTATACTTATCCGTACTAAGTATTGTTACTATGTCAAAGTGTGTTTGTTTGTTTGTCTTTGAGAGCATTTTGGTGATTTGATGAATCCTAATTCGTCCATTACTATCGTATGTATAATATAGACTATTTCTTTGCTTTGCCTAAATGCCTAACGGGTGAAGCCGCGGTCGATAGTAAGTTAGAAGCAGAGCTTTGAATTCGATATGAAGTTGTATAGTAACAGATAAGAGCAGCGACCGCGGCTGCTGTCACGCTGGTGACACACGCAAACATTCGTGCCGGAACTGATTAATTCCAGCATTAATCATTCAAATCGTATAATTACATACTAATGCATAAAGCAGCTAAGTGGAAGTACGGTCTATTCAGTTTTCGCATTTCAAGTTATCTATTAGATTTAATAAACCAATATTATTACCCTCAAAAAATAATTATTCATTATGATAATGCAAGAGGATTGATCAATCATCTAAGTAACCCTTTACCTGAGCATAACAAAATTTTAACAATTTTAATTCGTAAAAAAATATTAAATTAGAATTAACTAAACAACAACAACTAATATAATAATATACATATTATAGTTCCTCTTGTCACGCTGTTGACGTCCCAGTTTACAGTGCAGCGCATTAATTTCCTACAGCGTGATTATTGATGTAGGCAGCCAGTGACGTGTTAACGTGTATGTGTGTACTGTACATGTCTTTGTGTTTCCTATCAAATGTGAAGCAGTTAGTCATCATCATCAACAGCCGGAAGACGTCCACTGCTGGACAAAGGCCTCCCCCTTAGCCCTCCACGTCGAACGACAACTCGCCACCCGCATCCACTGGCTCCCCGCAACTCTGGCGATGTCGTCGGTCCACCTAGCGGGAGGTCTGCCCACGCTTCGTCTTCCGGTCCGTGGTCTCCACTCAAGGACTTTCCTGGCCCATCTGCCGTCAGTCCTTCGAGCGACGTGGCCTGCCCATTGCCACTTCAGTCTGCAGATTTTGCGAGCTATGTCGGTAACTCTTGTTCTTTGGCGAATCTCCATATTTCGGACTTTGTCGCGCAAAGAAACCCCGAGCATAGCTCTCTCCATCGCACGCTGAGCGACTTTGAGCTTCTCCAGAAGGCCAGAGGTCAGGGACCACGTCTCGGTACCATACGTCATCACCGGCAACACACACTGGTTGAACATCCTGGTCTTTAGGCACTGAGGGATTTTCGATGAGAAGATTTCGCGTAACTTCCCGAACGCTGCCCATCCAAGTTGGATTCTTCGGGCGACCTCTTTGTCGAAATTGGACCTACCTAGCTGTATAATCTGCCCTAAGTATGTGTAGTGGTCTACAACTTCGAGGATATCGTTCCCAACGATGACCGGTACAGGTGCAACATGGACGTTTGACATGATTTTGGTCTTGTCCATGTTCATTTTAAGACCCACCTGTTGGGAGACGATATCGAGGTCGCTGAGCATGGTGTTTAAATCCTCCAGCGACTCCGCCATGATGACTACATCATCGGCGAAGCGGAGGTGTGTGATGTATTCGCCATTGATATTGATGCCCAGTCCACTCCAGTTTAAAAGCTTGAAAACGTCCTCCAATGCGTTGGTGAACAGTTTCGGAGAAATCACGTCTCCCTGTCTCACGCCTTTCTGCAATTGGATTGGTTCCGTGCTATCTTCCTGGAGTCGGATGCGCATGGTGGCGTTTCTATACAAACACTTTAGCACCTCGATATATCTGTAGTCGATATGGCATCGCTGGAGAGACTGCAGCACCGCCCCAGGTCTCGATCGAATCAAAGGCTTTTTCATAGTCCACAAACGCCAAGCATAGTGGCAAGTTATACTCCTCAGTCTTCTGTATAACTTGCCGCAGCGTATGAATGTGGTCTATGGTGCTAAAGCCTTTCCGGAACCCGGCTTGTTCGGGAGGCTGGAAGTCATCAAACCTGCGTTCCAGACGGTTCGTGATAACCCTAGAAAACAGCTTATATACATGGCTCAGAAGCGAGATGGGTCTATAGTTCTTCAACAAAGAGTTGTCACCCTTCTTGAAGAACAGAACCACTACACTCCTTTGCCATGCTTTCGGCGTAGTTCCTTCGAGAATGACGGAATTGAATAGTTTCTGGAGGACTAAAAGTATCGGTTTTCCACCCGCTCGCAGAAGTTCTGTTGTGATTCCGTCATCACCCGGTGCCTTGTTATTTTGAGCTGTCTGAGAGCCATCCTAATCTCATACAGGCTGATGTCTGGGATATCCTCGGTATAGTGCCGTGTCAGTTTAGCTCTAGGATCCCGAGCTGTACCGACAATGGGTTGCCGTGTCGAGGTGTATAACTGTCCGTAGAACCTTTCAAGCTCTCTCAGAATCTCTGGCTTCGACGAAACGATGCTGCCATTTTCGGTCTTCAGTTTCGTCATTTGGCTTTGCCCAACAGACGAATTCCTTGCGAATACTTTTGCGCCCTGATTTCGCTCTATGGCATCCCTGACTCGTGCGGCGTTATATGCACGCAGGTCGCGTCGCATAGACTTTGAAATTCGCCTATTAAGTTTGCCATATCCAGACATGTCAACTGAAGACTGCAGCCTCATCTCGTGTCGGTCTTTCAATAATTTAAGTGTTTCTTTCGAGAGCTTTTGAGGTCTATTTCGGCGTGGATTTTTGAAAAACTCTGAGCCCACCGTTTGGACAGTTTCCACTAACCCATTATTTAACTCGTCAATCGTTTCACACTCAGCCAGGCACTGGAAGCGATTTTGCAGTTGGAGCTGGAACTGTTCGGGGTTCTGGACCTGGGCGCGACCAGGACGGAGTGTGGACCTCACCAGGCGTGACCTCTCCAGCTTGACATTGATATTCAGTGTGCCTCTGACAATACGGTGATCGCTGCCGGTTTTCACCTTAGCTATCACAGAGACATCACTGAATATGCGCTTGTCGGTCGCCATGATGAAGTCGATCTCATTTTTGGTGTAACCATCGGGACTTATCCACGTCCACCTCTTAGCTGGTCGCTTTCGGAAGAAGGAGTTCATTAAAAAGAGTCTCTCCCTCTCCATAAAGTCGACCAGCCGCTGGCCCCGACGGTTTCGCTGCCCATATCCAAATGGCCCCATTCTCAGCTCTTCGCCGTTCCGTGTGCCCACCTTCGCGTTGAAATCCCCCATGACAACGGTGAAGTGTGCTTCGGAGGTGTGTATGGCTTGGGAAATTTCCTCATACAGAGCCTCTACTTCATCATCGCAGTGTGTCGAGGTCGGCGCATATACCTGGATGACCTTCAGCGAATACCGTGTGATATTCTGAGTATAAGGTACGCTACCCTGCTCGACACACTGTCAACTTTACTCACGTTGTTGACGAGGGACTTGCGGACGAGAAATCCGACACCACCCTGGGATTTTTGATCTCCTTCCCGGAAGAAGAGCAAGTTGCCGGAATCCAGGACCATCGTATCCTGGCCCTCTCTTCGGATTTCAGACAGTCCCAAGATGTCCCACCGCATTTTGCTCAATTCTTCCTCCAGCTCGACAATCTTCTCATCGGTCCGCAGGGTGCGGATGTTATGTGTTGCCAGGGCCAAAGTTCGTCGGGGGTGGTAGCGGTTCATCTGCCGGGGATTCTTAGCACCCCCTGCTCCGCCGTTACCCGATCCGCTACCAAGATCAGGAATAGCGGAGCTGCCGGGGACTGGGGGCCGTGTATTTAGGTTGTCGTTCATAGTGAGGGGGGGGGGGTTTGCCATAATCCCCACGCTTGGCAGGCGGCTTGGGGATCGCAGTTAGGTCACCGATATATTTATGGAATGCTGCAGCCCATTCCTCGGTGGCTGGTCGCAGTTTTAGGACGTACCCGGGTCCGGCAAGAAGAGGCGGAAGCAGTTAGTAGTTTCACTGTAATTGTATTCAGCTGTGACGATTCAATTAGTTAAACTGTGCGCTCTGTATGTGTTGTTATATTGTATTTGAATCATGTTTACCGTTTATAGCTGAATAGTTCTCCGTGGTTTTATTTTTGCATGTAATGAAGACGAAAGTGGTAAGTTTTAAGGTCGAAAATGTACTATGTATCTTTGAGCACTTAATGCGAATGACTAATTTAAAAATCCCGTTCCTGTGCAGTGCAAGAATCCTGTATTCGTATGACCTAGGAACATACCTGCTGAGGCTGGTATTAAAAGTGCCATAGAAACGTGCGACTTCCCTGAAGTACGTGAAATCGGTTTCCATGTCGTAGATGACGCAGCAAGAAGGGAAAACGTGATACTAAGATCTATCGATTATATAACAATGGGACTGCTTGACAAATAATATTTTTAAATTGGTCTATTTATGACGACAGTTTAAGGCTCATGTTGACTCCGTACATTATAATATTAAGGCAATATACTCACGACATGATTGGAATTCATCTTCGCCCTTCTCGCAGTCGCGCTGGTAGTTGCACACCCAAAGTGCAGGTATACACTTGCCCTCCGGACACCTGAACATGCCACTCGGACATATTGTGTCTCCTGTGGAACATAAAACGTTCAGTCAGAGTGTGATTGAACAGTTGCAGTTATTGTACACCCAATCAAACTACTGATATAAAAATCAATGTATTAATTATAAACATCCCATTAAAAAGTAGGTAATAAAAATAGAAAAGAAAACAATATTATACCAAAATTAGTTCAAACACTAAACAAATAATACACAGAAGTATTTTCCCATTTTTTTAATGACTAAAGATATACGTACATAGAAGAAACTAAATCTAAAATGTTGCAACAACTGTTATGGTGTTTAAGATGTTTAACTACAAACACACACATAATTATAAGAAAAAGTAAAGTTACATAGCTCGCCGCACATGTGTCACGCGTCTTACACGTCGTAATGTGCAGGTAATGTAATCTGCTTATGTCAATTTGTCGTGTTACCGTCACGCTGGAGCTACGCACCGCATGTCACGCTCGTGACGGATCACCGGCGACCGTGGACGCACGCACTCATCATCTTAGCACGTTAGGTATAATACTCGTGGCGAGGACATTGTTATTGTTAATATTTCAGATGTAAATATTTTCATGAAAAGAAATATCCAAAGACACAAGTTTTCTAACACTTTTGGGTACGATTTTAGAACTCTCTCAATGGAATGTTATCACCGTATGACGCCTAAGTTATCTCGCCCGCTATAAATCTTTGAGATCGTCTATCTACAGTTATTGATCTTAAAATTAACTGACAAACTTTAGAATACTTTTGGTTCATGAAGTTACTTTTTAGAAATGTCTCTCTAACTCTTCGATATTATTATTTCAGCGCGTTTTCTATATTTTAAGTATGTACGTACGCGACGATGATAACGAGAAACAAATTCAACGTCCCAATAATCCGCTTATGGAAGAAGAATTGGGCATGCGACGTTTCCCCGTGGGTCGCGGATTTACTTCATTTACAAACATTGCTTTAATTGCTGCCTACAATTTAGATCTGGGCATTTCTTCAAAGTTGTAACATTATGAACAAAATTCCTTATGCTTAATCTGAAATATTTTGTTTATGGCTGAATAGACCACAAAACATTTAGTTCCCAGCAATCAGAATCAAACAGACACAGCGGTGGACTGCAGTAATTCCAGAACTCACCATATATCGGGATTCCGGCGCAAGCCAGATAATTCCTCGCTCATCGTCGATGGAAACAACGCAGCTATTAATTAATGCGAGTGTCGATTTACCGGAACTAACGAGCTCACGTGAGCCACGTACGGAGGACCGAGGGCACTCCCTCCACCTCCAGTACTCTCGGAGGACTCAACGTGCCATTTACCAGGAGACTTTCATTGTTTTTTGAAGCAAAAAGATGCGGTGATGCAATTATATTTTGTCGTAACTAAGTGCAAACTGTGTAGTGAATATCAATGATAGTGTTACATTAACACATAGTTAATAACATTAATGACTAAACTAACCAAACAATTAATTAGAGCTGGCAATACGTACAAACAAATGCATGTAATAAGTGTGTATATTAATGAAATGCTATTTTCAAATGTGTGGTTTTAATATCGGCTTAGGATGCATTATGGATACACGATTGGGTAATTAAATCAGCGCATTGTGCACACTGGCCGGATATCCAGGTGCAATGTTTTAGTTATTGAATCCCGGTTATTATGTTGTTTGTGTACGGCGCATAATCCAGGTACAAATTCTACGCATATTTACTTAACGATAATACATGTTATGTGATTTCAAATGATGGAGATTAATTAATATAGCGATGCTGCATTGTACCAGAGAGCGGTGATTTTAAAATAAAATTAATTAATGACAACAAGAGAATATCCGGACGGTAGTGGAGTATAATTCCGAGATATATATTTTTATTTTGGTCGTCATTGTCTATAATTAACCGGTATAAATGAATACGATAAACTGAACGAAAATGATAAATTTGTTAATATGTTTATGGAACAATTTCAGAATGTAAGGTCTTCAAAAAATATGAGTTCTTTATATAATTATTAAACGAAGTTAGCATTAAAATAATTTCGCTGGAACAAGACAAAAGGCAGTCAAAATGTGAAATAAAAACATAAAGGCCCAATGTTTACGAGTCCGACAATAATTTACTTTAGCGAGTGGAACATAAACCGGCTGAATTATTATAAGATTTCGCGAACATTAAGAAGAAATTAACTTGGAGATAACAAAGTTGAAGATTTCTTACTAACTTACTTCTCTTGTAACAGATATCCGTATGACCGAGTGCTTTCGGAACTTCTGTGGACACAGAGGTGAATATTATATTGCTGTGGACAGGGAAGAGATTAGGATTTCATGATATAGTATTGGTAGTGAAGGCTATACATATATAATGCTGGTAAACGAGTGTTCAAGATGGACACATTGTGACATAAGCACACTTACTCTCCTGTATATGTCTGCAGATGATAATTTAATATATAATCCTACAAAACTAAATTTTAATACTTATAATATTTCCACGTTGAAGTGACATAGCAAGGAGTGTAAAAGTCTGTGAGAATTATATAGCGCTTCAGTTCGGCAGTTAATCTTATCTAAATAGTTAACGACTAGCTCGGTTCCGCAGTTTCACTCGCGCGCCGCTGTTAGTACCGCGGTGTAGTGTTAGATAGTCTGTAATCGAAAAATCTGAATATCAAGTATAATGTGTTTTAGGTGAAAGCAAATTCTACTAGTGTTGAAATGGGTCAATAAAGTACAATATGTTTTTTATGGAATAGGAGGCAGACAGAACACCTGATGGTAAGCGATCAGCGCCGCCCATGGACACCCGCAACACAAGAGGAGTCACGGGTGTGTTGTCGGCCTTTTAAAATTTTATGAAATATCATCTAAATATTTTCTTGTTTAGTACAGGAAGAGAGTATTGTTTGAAGACAGTACCTACAAGGCTAGCTAGGGTACTGGTGATACCCACATATAATATGGTTACGACGTCATAGATCTAGGAGATCGGTGTTTTATGTTAAGACGTCCAAAGAGAAGTCTCAAGTCCACATGCACTCAGAAGCCACGTAAACGAGCGACTGTCTCTAATATTTCAAACAAACATTATAGAAGTCACGATTGTATTGTTGCTAGTAAAAGTTAGCGAGTGTTCACTCAATAACAGCTGAAGCCGCAAATATTAAGTTAAAAGTTGAGTGTTACAGCATTTTCCTGAAGCTGCCGCTTTACGAAGCTTATAAAGTGAACACGATACTGTTTAGTGCGTGTAACGGAACACGCTCAGGGAATAATAATGGCCGCCTGGAGTGGAACGCTTCCAGCGTACGAGTACACTCCATGCGTACACTTTTATTTTTTACAAATTACAAACATAAATTGTATCAACTTATTGAATTACAAAAGATCCCACTCATAAACATTGTGTGAACGTAATGTGTTCTAGTAATTTACGTACATTACACTGCTACACTGTTCGTGTACACTGTACAGGATCGGTCTCGACATTTTGACAGCCGCAACAAAGCTTTAATGTTTATAAAGGGATTCAGTAAAATATCCACATGAAAATTAATTCACAATGCGTTGTAATGCTTTTGCAAAAACAAAGAACGAAATTATTATTATCTTGATTTAACATTCAACTCTATTAAATGCTTTTGACGACCCATCCGGAGTTTAGATTGCCAGAGAACCGTATTGTGAGCGTACAGTCGTACAGCTGCTCACTTCCATAGAGGTGAAAGGTCGAGTCAGCGCGCGGTGGCGGCCCACCAACATTGAAAAATGGCGCCAATCTCACGCTGTTCGCGCGCCACGTAGATTTGAATTTAGAATGGAGAAAACAGCTGATTGATTTACAGCCAGTACCTAACAGTTTCTAACGGTTTTTAAAACGCGTGTTTTTAAAGGATACAAAAAGTCCACAAAGGCTCCGGTATTTCAGGATTAGGTCAGTGATTTATGTGAAAGTGTACGTCGTCTATATTTGTCCGTACACTCTGTAAAATATTTTATTGTGATAAAACATAGTCTATTTTTCATGAATATTGAATTTGACTCGATATTTGCCAGAATTACATTTGTTCTGCAAAAAACCTCAAAGGTATACAAATTATGCAAATGTAAAAACATTTACGTTGCCGCAGTACAACGAAATTTAAACCTGAACACAATATCTAACTTCCCAAAAGCATCATTGTAAAATAACGTGTAAAATATCGTTATTAAAACAGGTCTCCGCTAACACAGCCGTTATTGCTCTCAGGTTGGGCTGAACCCGAGCCCGACATTTATACTGAAACAATTCCGCCCCTCGGAGAACTTGAAAATTAACTTCTTTACCGTCTTCCTTGTAACGTCGCGTTGTCTTCCAGTTAAATGAAATTCATTGCGCTGATTTAATTTTACTATGGATTTTTGTGGCGCCCAACGCGGGACCAAGTCGTCCAATTACGAATACTATCAAGTCACACCGTACCTCGTCAGAAGTAGGTTTCTTAAGTGTAAACTCTGTAGTTATGTCTTATATCATTACAACAGAATTTCCTCGAGAAATAGGAGGAAAATGGGGTAGCCAAAACGAAATTGGCGCTGAAGAAAAAACATTACTAATACATATCAATCGTGGTTACCTGACATAATGAAACGTACCCGCCACACGTACGCGCGCTCACGTACCGACATGAAAGCAATAAACTCTGTAATGCGGTACACAATTATGACACATGGTCGGCTAAATTGGTGGCAGGCAGCGTTCCGAGTCAAGGAAAACTGTTTACTTCGAGTAAATTAGACATGATACTGACACAATTCCAGCCAGCCCTAGAGATGTACTCCTACCTGCGCCGTTTCCATGATGTATCTAACAAATGTAACTTGTATTGTGTAGCATTACAATTACAATTACAACAACAACAAATCAAGGGTTGTTGCTTCAAACAGTGACCCTATTTGCGAATTAGTATAATGTGGCGGCCGTGTCCCCAGCTAGTTATTTAGACACAAACTAACTCGGCCATTAATTCAATAAGGCGAGTATCAATGTAAGTAGTGTCTATTTACCTTAACACCGCCATTTTGCTGGCTCGTTAGCTTGCCGGGACCATCGCCATCTCTTATTCAACAGACCGATGAACGACTCAATGTGAACGAATGAACGGGCGCGGATTGACGAGCGTCACAACCCTACTACACAACAGCCATATACAATTTGGATAAACCTTCGCTCTGTAAGTTTAAGGTTGATATTTCTATAACCCTGCAGCTAGCTAGGGTTGTCGATTTTGATGAGCGAGACTCGGAGTAGTTTTATTTATGTTTAAAGGAGTGTGAACGGTTTAGTTGACTTTATGTGGTCCTCTGAATGTGGTGTACATGTAAATTGAATTTGAAAAGTCAGATGTTGTGTTGGCAGTATCAATCTAGCAATGTGCATTTGAATAAGGGTTGTTGATAAATGTTGGTACTGGAATATCAACTTATGGAAATTAAGGGAAAACTATAGTTATTTGATCCATGCAAATTCTAAAATCAACTCGGAAGGGTTTCATATTGTTAAGCGATCCTGGATTTTATAATACTTGTAACTTTAGGTAATCTTTTATTATGAAGTATCATTGAAATCACAAAGATTGTGTTGATGTGTAGAAAAGGGTTGAGTTTAAATCTTTTTATTGTCAGTCCGATTGTTTGGTCGTTAATATTGCTGAGAAAGTTCTCAAACGTCGGGAACAAATGTTCGTCACGTTAAACAGTTTACGAGTGAGACATCAAAGTTTTTATTGCGTGTTTACGTCGTCTTTACGTAATGTTATTACATCAGTTCACAAACATAATTAGGTATCTATTTCGCTCACTACCTTTCATATTAGGTGTAAACATTCTAGAATACGTTGTGGATGAATGTTGAATTAAATGGAACGCTATATATTGTCTCGTTACCTTGGATCTGTCTTGATAGTACAACAATAAAATTGTTGAAATGAAATTATCTAGCATCGTTTAATCGACCATGATATCTGGAGAAAAAAATAAAAATAACAATCTAACTGTATTAAACTTAATTTAAACAGTTTAATTTTCAAGCATTTGTTTTACAGCTCAAATATTTCCACATTACGGTTAAGACTTGAAACCATAAAGCACTATTAATGGGCATCATAGTGCAATCTTGTTAAAGAACAAAAGCACTTATTTCCTGAGCGGTTAGATCGGTTTTCTAATCAAAGCACAGGTAGTTAACCTACAAACACTAAGTAGTAATTCTGCTCCTAACAATCTGACATACAAAGATTGTATTCGTTACAAACATGATATACAGTACACAGAGAAATAGTCGCGGTCCACTGAAACTATAAATACAAGTGTAGTATGCTGTAGTGTGTGTGACACCTCGCCCTATAAGTAAGTAGTGTAAGTTAGATATTAAGACACTCAATTAAAGATATTTGTAACACCAACACGTCACCCTCATTGCTCCACATTGCATGGCGACCCTGCCAGTGCTGCCGCGCGGGCAGCGCTGAGCACGAGTACAGAAAAATAATGGATTATTTGAAATAAAAACTTTTCAAAAATTTATTGAACTAAAAGTGCATTGTGCTCTAAAAAAAAAAAGTGGATCTTTTTGCTGGCTGCCGGGTGTCGATGCAGCCAGATGTGGACCTGCCGGGAGCAGTTGGTGTCCTGGAGGATGGAGCCGGGAGATGTTGGCGACCAGGTAGCGTCCGAGAGAATCTCCGCTACTCTGGGTACGCGTAGTAACCGGACTCGAAAGTACTTTGTGTTTAAATGTTAAGTGTTTTAGTGTAGTTAAAAAGTGAAAATGGACACCAGTATATAGAACTGTAGTAGTAAGATAAACATAATTTTAATAAGGGCCTAACGTATATTATGTAATTTTAGTTATTTCATATAATTTTAAACATTTTATTTATAATATATGTATACACTAGATATAGTTCACGCCTGTTGACAATATTATAAGTTTTGTATTGAATCATTTTATGCTTACTATTATTTTAAATGAATTTATGTGAAATCTTACAAATATTTGTTGTAATTTAGAGATTTTTTTTTTAATTCGTAGTTCGCTAACATTAATCAGATCAAAGGAATGTTCCCATGCCCATATAGGTAAATGACGTCATACGGAGTGTCATATTGTATTGAAAGAATCGTGTTACTCGACACCGATTAACAATAACAACTGCACTTTGGTTTTGTCTTGTGAACTTAATAAATTAGATGAATGAAATTTGTAATAATTGTCAACAGAGCGACTAATTCTATTTAAAAATATTTTAACAGTTTAATTAAAAAAAAATGTATTAGAATAAATTTTTTTTTCCAAAAAACGGGGGAGGTGTAGTGTGTGTGACACCTCGCCCTATAAGTAAGTAGTGTAAGTTAGATATTAAGACACTCAATTAAAGATATTTGTAACACCAACACGTCACCCTCATTGCTCCACATTGCAATGCCAGTAATTTGTAAATTAACTATCAAAATCACCATTAACGTTTGTAAATTAAGTTCAAACTTTACGTAATATTAGGTATATTAACGGCAAGCTAAAAATACCACTTCTAAATAAATTACTAAGTTGGTCACCGTGACACCCACGCAACGTTTTAACTTACCCAGAAAATTCTCACAAAGGTTTTTCATCCGCGAGTCTTTTAACAAAACGCGGAGAAAGTTTGTCTTCTAAAACAGTTCCTAATTATATCCCTCGATTGAATAATCCATTTAAGTGGCTCCTGCAGCGGTCACCGATAAGAATCGCAGCCGGAGACTCTAATTACCACTTTGCAGTTAATGGCTAGCCTTCCCAACCTTCCGGACGCCACACTCCCGCTCTCCTTTCCTATTGAATCCTCTTTCATGCGCATTAATGACCCTCGCCACTCTAGGGTTTGTTTCAACGACCGAATTTGTTTGTAAGTGTTTCTTTGACTTGATTGAGCACATTTTTTGTGTAACACCAAGTTCGCAAACTTTGACATGCCATTTTGGTTATTTAAGATTTAATTTAGAACTCTCCTCACAAATACCTACTATGTTGGAATGTAATTGTAGTGCATACTTCTCGAATTGTTAGAATTCTCTCAAACTAAGAAGTGTGAATGTTGTAGCAAGGCGCTCACTTTGTCTCAGACTCTCGGCACCGCAGCCTCAGGCCATCGCGACTGAATTTCGTTTTTTCACATAATATTTTCTACTTGGAACAGTAGCACTGAGATTGAAATATTGAAGGAAACGTAGAAAGATACCTATCTTAGATTTATAACATCTTACTTATTTCAAGTTCAAAGATTATTGTACTTCCTTTAAGTGTCTATAACACAAACATACATAGATATATTGCATGGAGGATGTCTAGGTATATGAAAGTACGGCGAAGTATGGCGCGGCACTCGTCTGCTGATAAATGAGCCATATCAACATTAAGGAGCCACAGGTGGCGCGGAGGAGGATCTCGCTACCTGAGCCTGCAGACAGAGATGTCAGCGCTGTGTATTTATTTCTCTTAATTAACATTTTCCATGAATAATATTACATCCAGGTGTAAGTTGCCACCGAGGCCAAGTTTTCAATCATTTACTTCTAACAAGCTACGAGATTGGTTCCTGAACTCGTATCGTGCTGTAGTGCTGCGAGGGTAAATAGATTGCCACTAGCACCAGGTTAACAGGTTTAGTTTATAGTTGGGTAAAAATGGAAGCAAGACTAAAACACGAATTTCCGGTTAGATTGCGATTTTTTAAAACTTTAGGTGCCCTGGATTTGAAATTTATGGAAGCACAAAATTCCGAACACATTGACAGAATTTCTGCGAATTTTCGTTGTTGCAGCCGGAGGGCGGCGCACTGCGAGCCGCCGCCATGTTGGCGGATGTTCTGGAAACGCGGGAAGCGTTACCAGCTTCCGCGCCGACGCACTTCCGGCCTGCACTCGTTATTAGCAGCTGGTACAAGGGCGAAGGGTTATTGCTGTCGTTTAGTCTTCCACATGACTTTAATGTGTTGGACTCGGCGGCGTCAAGTTTCCGCTCGACGTGTGAAATAACAAGTAGGCGGTCTTATCACCCACCTTACTCTGTGGCGAATGACATTTTAGAAGAAGTTGTTTGACACATTGCTATGACATTGCGAACTGACACACTATAGTATAAATATAATGCAGTATACAAACAGATGGAGAAATAAAATATAGTCATAAAGAGTTAGCGGGTTATCGTGTTCGTCGTAAATGCAGCCGTAAAAGATAAGTGCACGATGTGGGTCGCAGGAGTCTTCGGAAGTCACTTTACAAAAACCATGACATTAGTAGAAAAAGGTAAGTATAGGAATAGAGTACCAATACCTACTAATAATATAGTCAACACGTTGTGTATGAAGATACCAGAACGTTTTATAGACTCATCCATTAATTGAATAACAACGGATCCTTATTTTTAGGAAAGGCTTGTATGTTAAAACAATGTGTAGTAGAAACATTCGTTCCGCTCGTGGCTCGCACCGCGGCGCGGCTGCAGTCGCGCGTCGCTAGCAAGGATCCTAATTTATGTGCGATTGTTCGCTGCCGGCGCGATACCGCCGTGATTCCCAACCAAGCCAAAATAAATACACTGCCTTTAAAGAGTTTATTTCTTTTAATTTATATCCCTCCGCTGAAGGGAAGATTAAATACGAACGCACGTACTAAGCAAATGTCTTTTTTTAACCGATAGTTGGCACAATATATTCAGAAGTTGTTTTATTTTCTTTCAAACATTTTCAAGCTTATAACCTAAAACTTGTGTTTACAGGGAATAAAGAATTAAAGGTTAAAAAACAGAAAGTGGAACTTTTATAACGTTATTATTGAGATAATTGTATAATTCGCTGAGGAGGTCCTGCGTCAGGTCTCCTTATTTCATCACAATAAGAGTCCTAAGCAGTAATTATAATACAATTAAAGCACCCGCCGTACTACAGGAGGTGGTTCTCTCACATCAATCCGTGGCAGGTATAACCGAGACCTAATTACTTTGACGATTCCGTATAATCATTGACCTTAATTGTGTAGTAGATGCTCAGCGCGCGTGGTATTTATAAGGCAGTTTGTATTATCTGTGGCGGAGTGTTGTGGGCTCTCAGGTGGCCGAGATAAGGACAGTAATAGAGCACCTAATTTCCGAGTGTCGTTTCGCGCCAGACTGCGCGCCGAGATATACTCCTTGAGAAACTTCTCCCAAGAAACATAAGCGAGTGTTGTCTTAGATAGAGTAATAACGATTCCAGTTACTGAAGAATTTACATTATTTTTGCACGAGTAGAAATGCCTATGTTGTTACAAATTAATATACGGTAGCATTTCCGCGGAATTATAATACGAAGACGAGAGACAACGAGAAGGGGAATATAGAAATAAGTCCAATAAATGAGAAATAAGTAGCGCCGGTAACGTAACTCATATTGCAGCCATAATAATGTAAGAACGAGAAGTAATGGCGCCCAACGTGGGACCAGCGCTTCGCTCTAGGACACTCTCATTATTTTCGTATTAAGGCCTTACATATAAATTTGTAAGGTTATTTTCAAAATTCAACATGTAATTTATTATTGGAGCATTCCTGCGCGTAAAACGATGACAAAGTGAGTGGCGCCCAACATGGGACTCGGGAACTTTGCTAATATTCGTGCAGGTACGATGATATTAAATGTTAACTAATTTTTGGACATGTTAACACATGTGCTAGGATGATTTTGATGTTAAATTTTAAGATGGAAATAGTATTTTAATTTTGTAATTTCAGCTCGACAGGTAAAGTTCAGTTTTAGTGTCAATCTCATTACCAAATTGAGAGTCGCAGACGTTTGCAAAGTGTTATTTTGGACAAAAATATATGAAAATAGGAAAAATCTGGCAAATCAGAGAGTGGCTCTCGTCGGCGGGCTTTATCAGGTGGCAGCCGGAGATGTCACCGTTATCTGTGCTTTCAATCCGCTCGAGTGCGGCCGGAGTTATGATTCCGTTGTTCAACAAGCCGGGGGAGGCTGGTACTAGTAAGACAGGGCAGCGGGCACTGACAATATAAAACTTTATGAATAACTTGTGCTCCGAAGCAGTTCATAAGTATGTATATCCACGTCCATTGTAATAAATTGACAGTTAAATATTAAATTTTCAACTTTAGGTACCTTCACTCATACATGTGTAAGGAGAAGTAATGTAAACTCATTGGCATTTACTGAATCAGCGTAATTACCTCATTTAAACGCACGTATGTTAAAGATCTTAATTGAGCAGAGGAGCGTATGATTAAAGTTGGCAATGGCGACGAGGTGCCGCCGGCTCTCATACATTACACCGTCTGCAGTACAAAGAGAGTGGTGAAACAATCTCGTAGACAACAAAATAAATTGCTGCGCGCGTCTCGTGGGGATTGTTTTTAAATTTCGTTACACAAACACCGGTGCTGTGTTCTATGCTATATGAAAGAGAGATAGTCATATGCCAAAAGACATGTATAAGAGAGTGAGACAGTATTTCTTTTGTAATTCACGTGTTGAAAGCGTCAACGAACGTAATTCGTATTACAGTAGTTAGGCGACGCGACGCGACAAAGTGAGCGTCTGACGTCGTCGTCGCGGCGCACACTCATACGCCGGGACCGCTTTACAATTTGTTTTTGATTCGTCACATTGATATTTCCAGTGAATTTACATTCTAAATAATGTAAGTTTGATGAGCAGACACGGGTTTTCCTTTTATTTCAACAAAGATTTTTAAACCAGTTGTAGTCTAGAAATTAACTGATTTAAAGTAGGTATGTGTGCTTACATGTCTAGGTGTATTATAGTTAAGGGTACGTCTATGAGAATTCACTTAAGTTTAAATAGGTTCTGAAGTCTTTGAGAAGCTCGTCATAAGTTAATGATATCGGGCGTCTCGATAATTCGATCTGCGGTGACGCCGACCTAAGTTCGCTCATCGATCACAAATTGAATCGTTCATTTAATAGCGCGCCGCACTTCGCAAATATAGCTTCTACCAAAAAGTTTAATTATAGCGATATTACCTATAAACTAACTTTCTTTATTATTTACTGAAGTAAGTACAATTAAAGGATTTATCATATGTAAAATGTGATAGATATTGTTGAGAGCTAGTTCTAGTTTCATTAGCAGGAGAAAATTATCAATGTGACGAACGAATTTATTTTAATAAAAGTGTTATAAATGATTTCGAAGCAATTATCCTGCCATACAAAAATATTAAGAAATACACAATACATGTCATTAAATAAATAACAGTAGCAGCGGGCACTCACTGGTTGTGCAGCGTCAACAGCAGGGAAGCAATAATTAACAAACTTTAACAAATGTTCATTACACAACCGACAACTTCCGTGCAGGTTTTACATTTTTAATAAACGGTATGAACTGTCAGCGAATGAAATTGTCGTTTCCAAATAGTCGAACAATAAGAAGCCATCGATGTGGATGAATAATTGGAACGAGCCGGACTCCGAGCTCACTTTGTGGGATTTTCTTTGTACGATTTAATGCATTCGCTTGTAAAATTTATATTAGGGACGGGGGAAACCAGGCGCAATTAAACTGATGTCCTGCTAACATAAAACGTAGATATATTCACAAGCTGAATATTGAAGTAGGTACATTAAAACCCACTTAATAAGATCACTAATGTCTGGACCATTCTATTACCATTACCAGTCATTCAATTTCCATGTACCTGCCCCCAATCGGTTGATAATATAAAATTGAAAAGGGCCCATCAATAAAAGTGACAATTTCAATCTATAATGGAGGACGTTTCAGGCCATAACTCGAGTCAGCCGTCCCATCGCCGTAAATTAAGTGAGAGCTCTTGGACGAGAAAATAGCCATAAAAAGTATTTAGATCACCCCCATATATCTCGCCTAGGATAGCGTGACTTACGAGGCTGATGTGTTAAGTGCGAAGAAATAGAACATATTACTTACTTTGTACTTCAAAATGAAGATAAACTAGTCTTGCATATGTAGATGATCTGTGTAGAATATCTAAAAGATATCGAATTTATCATCATTGGTGTGTTGGAGTCGTATTTAAATGTCCTTGTTTACTCCGACAACATTATTCAGAGTTCCCATCGTCTCCACGTCTTGTCAGCACCCAGCGCTCGCTAGTGCCTTGTACCCATCCAATGCATCGAGTGAGCCCTTTCGTATTTATTACGCATGCTCTATTTATTTTCGTCTACGTATTTATAAAGTAGTTGAATTCGTTCCGGCGTCTCGTTTGTTTAGCGCAAACATGGCCGCTCCAATATTATCGGGAATTTACTTTTAAACAACAGTTTGTATGCTGATATTAATTAAAACTTATGTGTTGCGTGCGATGCAAAAATGCTGCGAATTTACTTTATGAAAATGGTTTCCATAGTTTGTTAAAGTTTACATTGAAATATTATATTTATGTACAAGTTTTGATTCAACTTGTTTGTGTTGTCTCAAGTCTCAAGAACTTACTTAAATAGTCATAACAATAAACTAATGGAATCGCAGCGTTACTCAATCATATCACTCGTCCTCGCGGTACATAGTAGGTACTATCAAAAACGTTTTTTGGTAAAAAATCCATACATTTCCGATGACCGGTAAATTTCCCGTGGCTGTGCACGGACACGGCACGGACACGACACGTAACGTGCCGTCGATGGGTTGGCCAATATTTGCGCGCCGAGTTAACCCTCTCGCCGCTCATAGTGGTCACCAAATTGATTTTGTACCGACCCGTGACCAGCGATATATTTTTAATGTATGCCAGTGAGCTCTTGTATTCACAAAGGCCGAGGAATTTGGAAACATTGACATTTATCATTATATCAAGGTTACTTAGCTAAGTTCTTGTGAGAAATAAGTATCTGTTAAGTTTCTTAATAGAGTGCAAGTAATCTATCAGTAAACTAGTTAATATCATCAATTACTTACGTATGGCTGTAGCAAAATAATTAACCAGGTTGTTGTGTGTTTGTACGTGCAAGGACTCAACGTGAAGAAGTGCAGCCTCCCATGGCAGTAAAGAGTTCCCTAGCCACAGTGTGATAAGGAACAAAAGGTCCAATCCCCCGAAAGTAACACTTTATTATGTGGCGATTACGTGAGGTCCGAAGATAAGCCAGACCCTAAGGTCTGCATAAATTACTGACACTTTTCTCGAACATAAATCGTAAGGTCTTACAGGAATATTTTGTTTTTGGTGATAAATTGCCCGAAACGACAACACGATTATACAAAGAAATTCACGTTCATAAATATTATTGAGATAAATCTTTAATTATAGTACTAACTTTGTTTATATTCGGAAAATAGACTTAAAAAGATAGGAGTCTTATTTTAATATACTAATAAATTATGCAGCAGACATTAGCTTGAAATACAACAATACAGAAAAAATAACAAACAAACTACTAAAATCAAAGCAATATAAGAATGTCCCGTCATTTAGCAAGACTAAGTAACAAGTACAGACAGAAGAAGTCATGCCCGGGAGGTAGAGAGAAGTATCCCAAACTACAGAGTCGGTGGAAGTTGGGAATGAAACTCATTTGTATGGAGATATAAAACTAACAAGTGGAAAAGTGCTGATGTCCGGGAGTTGAGCAAACCCGCGTGTTTCAACTGTATGCAGCTGCCGAGCTGTAGAGCGGCCGCCATTGCATTATTCAAACCGTTACAATTCATATCAACTTCGATTTCTGTGCAATTCGTCAAATATAATTGGAAAAACTTAAGCAGATCTTCGACTGTACATACAGTTTGTAGAAACACAGAAGTATTGTTGTAGAATAGTCCACTTATAACTAAATAGCAGAACATAATACTAGTTTTAAAATAATATTAAATAATAATAACACACGGCAAAAAAACAAAGATCAACTAAAACTAAACCAAGTAAGTAGAGTGTCAGCGCAGCTACTGGCCAGTATACACTGGTGTACACTATATAGGCACATACTACTGCTCACTAGTTCACTACAAACACAGGCGAGCTACAAAAGAACAAACACTCCGCTCTAGTGGCGCCCTCTACTGACGTACCTTTGAAGCGAATCTTTTTAAGGAATTGCTTTGGCAGGCGAGGCTTCATGCGCCCCGTGCGTCCTGGAAACATACACCAGCGCTCAAATATCAACTATTATAACAAGTTTTATTTTTATTGATATCTACATGAAACAACCTCCAGCTCGCAGCCACCACTCCCTACTTACACGGAGTGACGTCACGAATGAAAGATCAACCATCTTCTATTTATTTTTCATTCGAATGTCCATTCCATCTGTCACGAGATAAGTAAATGTGAAAGCTTTGTGGCGAGCAGTGTTCTGATAAAGCCGTAATGTTACATTTATTTCTATAAACACGTATTAAGCGCTCAGCTGTCGGGAACATTAGATCGCTGGAAACATTAAAAAACAAACAAAATGTTCGTTCCTTTATCCCTTTTGTAAATTTGTAAATAAAACATTAGAGTGGTGCGAGGAGGGCATTATGTACAGCTCCCGGGACGTTCCCGGCACGACGTGAGATATAACATTCTGACGCCAGGAATTAAGACGTCGACTGACAAAGATTAAAGAGTAATACTTTAAGCCGGAGGAATCGGAAGACAATTTCATTTTAATCTAATCGAGCCGAGTGTCGCGATCCAAAGCGCCTCGTGATAATCCACGAATTAAACACGGCCGCGCCACTCCTGCCTCCGTTGTCTTTACCTCTTTATGATTTCTGATGATTGTCTAGTTCACATTTCCCGTTTGCCCCCAGGCCAGTCGCCGCCATATTGTTGTTCAGTTATTTTGTACTTGGTTAATGTTCTCTACAAATTGATGAATTTTGTCACAATCTATCAGTGTCAATTTATAAAGAATAATGTGAAAGTTGACCTCAGCCTCATTGTGTAACAAAGGTTGTTTAGTCACGGGCTCATATTATTTATTTGATTTATGAGCCACCATGGAAGTGAGTTTAATTTTCTCTTCAAAACCTTACTATTTGCGAAACGTGAAGCTCTTCGTAATTCATCAATTACGTTGTTAAACTGTGTAATATTGAGCCGGCTGAGTGGCTGAGTGGCTGAGTCTGGGTCCGGGCAGTTGATGATCTCGGAGGAACATTAAGTTGTAGTTTTACGCGGCACTCAATGATCCTACTTAATATTTTAAAGGAGGGCCTCACGCGGCGACGTGCCGAGACAAATTTTAATATAATTACACAATTTCATAAGCAATTTCATAGTGAAAATTGAATTTATTTTTGCTTCGTCAACGTAACTTTATAATTTGGAGCCGCTGTACACGGCGCGTATTATGAAAATAAAAGGAGCAAACTCGGTTTGTTAGACCGGTGCGTGTTGTACGTACGTATATTACGTTCCTATATAAATATTTGTGAAACAATGTTTTCATTAAAATGTTTTGCTTTACAATATTACAAGTTAGTTGTAATATACTTGGCTGTATGTGTGTCGCGCCGTTGCCTCGTCGTCATATAAAAAATGCTTACTTCTATCTTCGTTCGGAATCCGATTACGTGTCGTTTGGTAATGGCAACAATTTTCCCTCGTATTTCCATTTATCCCTCGAAATCATATGTCCATAAAAATATGTATTTTCCTTTCCCTCAAAACTTACAGGCATCTAGTTTCCTTATAAGAATATAAGTATCTCGCTACTTATATAAACGTGTCACTGTGTAGTTACTTTTAAAATTTTACTGAGCTCTTTAAGAACTAAAAGGGAGTATCGAAAAAAAGTTTTATATTAGAACAATTACTGAACGACATGAAAATGAAATCAAGTAACATTTAATATTAAAAGTAACTTATTGTTGGGACTGTTGGCGAGGATTTGCACAATGGCGGCAGTCTCGTAGTCTCACAGTCTCGCAGATTAACTCGGCACAAAGTCTGAGAAGAATAGCGTCCTGTTTAATTAATAAGCAAATAATTAACGATTCAAATCGTTGCGTTAGGGCGGAATGGTATCATTCAATATTAACGAGCTAGTCGAATTAGCCGCGACTCGCGTCTCCTCGCTTAATAATAATGCTCTAATCTCTTCTCATTCTCAGATGTGAATTGTACGAATACGTATTACCTTGTGATGCCTCTAATTGTGACTAAATCTTGAATATTCATCAGCAGTTATTGATGCAACTTGCATTGATTTGATTCCTACGATACATTGATTGTTAAGGCAATATATTAGTCATTCCTTTTATTTTATCTTCAAGATGTTTACTGCTCATCTCACGCTTAATATAATCTTAATACTATTTAGATTTATTCTCTCTCAATAGCTGCTGATACTCCTAATACGTTGTTGACAAAAATCCATTTTTTTACGCTCAAGTTACATTAAGATGCCTATTTATATGTAAAGAATTTTTGAATATTTTCCATCGAATTTAGCAAATAGTTTCGATGACAATAGCAGTGGAATATCAGCAACAGTAACTTGTTTAATGTATATGTACAACAACAGCACAATATAATAAGTACACAACAAATACGTCAGAAGTGGTAAATTTATATGTTCCAATTCTGGGAATCGTCCATTTGGCTGTCGGTGACAGAAATTGTAAATAAAATGAATATTAAGGGGCAACGTATTTACATATTCGCCTCGGCTAGTCCTTTAAATTATCTGACCACAAACTGCGAGTGAGTACCTGAAACAAAATACAGAATAACATTAGTAAAGTTGACAGACACCTGTACATACATACATATATTTTGTGTAGATATAATTATATGTATTTAACATTATATTCAGTGTTAAATTTTATGAAATAAGTACTCTGTAGATTTTAATATCAATCCACCAAATTGAACACGTTTCTTTTTCAATTTGTAGCAGATCAATCACAGATTAACTCGAGTAAGAATAACATAATCCGGTCAATAATATGAGCGCTCACAATAGGGCCACTCCTTACTACAGACAGAAAGATAATGGAAGACATGAAAGTGCAACAGCGCACAATATGACAGACATTGGACGACGTCTTCAAGCTGTCCACAGTTTGAGAGCAGCCGTAATACCGAGTTACCGACCCTAACCGTCAAATTACACTTTTAAGACAATTCCTCAGTGACATTTTATTATGATACTTAGACATTCAATATGTTTCACAATATCCATTACGTTAACGTGACAGTCCTCTGCTAGACTACGAGCCTCCTCTATACAATAGGGGCTGGTTTGCAAACATATGACTGTAGAGAGGTATACCTCTAAATGATTAGAAAAACAATAACGTTACCTACAAGTTTTCCAACATTTCTATGACTCCCTTAACAAGAATTCTAAGCAAATATTTGTTTCCAAAACATTGAAAAGTCCTTTCAAACAAGGGACATAAAACACAGAATGATAATAACGAACGACATCACGGAGTCGATAAAGGGGGCTGAGCAGATCAGTAACCGTTCGATGTTTCCGCAACATTAGTTCGGGAAGATTCGCTTTATGTTCTGAGCATTCAAAAACAAGCGACCGTGCGATTTATTAGCATAAGCGAAGATAGCGACGCTTTTAAGTATATGGAGCGCTTGCGATGTTTATCGGGAAGACAAAAAGATAGAGCTTTTGAATCTAAAACTCCTAAAATAGACTGCAAAGTTAAAGGTATGGAGGTCGTTTTCCCAGGTCAGTATAATAATCTGTTCTCGGGTTTCCAGAACTATCAGCATGAAGTCTAGAATGGTGATCGGTGTATGCCAATATTAGCATTTGGCTAGCATATTACAAAACTGGCGACTACAATGGTTGTTACGCCGACCACTTCAGATGACATTGAGCCTAACAGTCACTGCCAAGAACCAAATGGAGGCTTGTCCAACAAACATGGCGGCTTGGCTAATACATTCCCAGACCTGTAGCATCGGTACATGTTACCCAAAGGTTGGACCACGCTAATGAATTGGGTACCGAAATCCACTTTAAATTCTATTGGAAAATTCCGTATTTCCCAGAGATTCGAAGGCTTTTTGCTAAAAAAGGGTGCGTTTTATCAATTCGGGACTGGTGAGGCGTTCTAATTATATTATGTAGATTGGTCTGTGCTCGTAATCGACCAGGCTTTTACTGGCTCCCCGTACCTGTCAGTAAACCTCTGCGGTTTATAATATTAGCTTTAGGTTCCACTGATGTTTTTTTTACGTTTTTGATCCTTTTCATCTTGAATATTATTTATTCTATTATTATTTTGGTCTCAACTGATATAATTATTTGCATTATAACATCAACGTCAACTCTTGCGTGTGCATTTCTATGTAGTTTCAGAGTTATTAAAAGTTTTGCATCTTGTAGCGTTGCAAAGAGAGCCAGAACAATATGTCTAAAGACGTATCCTTTTCGGAAACAGGACAAATAAATTCATCAACACATCCAATATTTCGAGCTACACGGAGCTCGAAATATTGGATGTGTAATACGATGTATAATAAGTCGGCCTATACAGACATAACACATAATTTCCAGTCGTATATTATGTATGCAACACCCCATGGTGACACGCGGCGTAATGTGCCACTACTGAGCTTCGGGAAATTTAATTGCAACTACACATGTACCGCCAATGATTACTGCATGACATATTGCAATTGAGATTTATTAATTATACTATACGTCATACTTGTTTAAGTACGTCTCACTTACTAATCATTAATGAATTATTGTCACAAGTTATATTAAATATGCAAGCTCAGTATTTTTTTAAATATGTTTTTAACAGACCTTGTATTCTTTTTTACAAGTTACTTTAGTAGGTTCATAGTAATAAAAGGTTCCATTTCAACGTTGGGTAAAACAGTA